CCAAGGAGTCTGAAGATGATTAGACTTAGGATAAATAATCCATGCTGTTTAGTTCTGTAGGAAAACTCCCACCAGTCTTTGGAGAAGATTTACATATATCCATGGGATATGCTGAGTTATGTATATCTGTATCTGGAAGCTGGTTTTGGATAAGCATTTAAAAGAGTTCTACAAGAGAAGAATTCTGACTCAAAAGGGGGGAAAATGGAACAGAATTTCAAATTTCCAATGGAATCCAGAGGTTCTGGAGTCACTGAGGCTGAATGAACACACAGACCTATTGCCCTGAGATACTCTTTAAACCCTAAACTACAGACCAAATCTCTTCCCTGAAGTCTGCCTTGAACCAAACAATTTAGCCTGATTAGTGAAGTGTGTCTGCCTTGAGCGCTGTGCTCTCTCAAAGATTTATCAGTAAGGGATCAAACTGACAATAGCATCTGAAAGGTTAGATGCGAAGCTTTGGGGGCAGTGACTTTATGTTAATGGTGGTGGAATAATTTGGAAAAAGATAATGAGAATGGTTACTCAACCTGAAGAATGGAAGCCATGTCACTGAACTGCCCATGTAGAATTTGTTGAAACCGTGTCTCTTTTGCTGTGAATATTTTCACAAAAGAAAAATAAAATAAAATTCAGAAAAATAGTAAAATACAAGAGTTGCACAGGTATGATTTGATGAGAGTTCAGAAAAAAATCACTGGGCATGAAAAACCTTGCATTAACAACTTGCTAAACACTTCCCCTGAAATGGTGAGTGAGAGAGAGTGCACGTCATAATTTATCAAAGCAAATTACTACTGTTCCGCCAGTAATTAAAGGTCCTCATTAAGAGATGGAACACCTCTCCCCACCCCCACCCTGCATTAGCAATAAAAATGCACTCGGGGCATCAAGAGGTTATATTCGAAAATCAATAACCTGCCATTTTATAATTAAAAGAGAAAATAAATGTTAGGGAAAAGTCCACTAAATTAGGAAAATTACCTTTAGGAGAGATTGAAAATATTGATTTTAATTTACAAAATATGTCAACTTTTCATGCCCTATTCTGAGAGACAATTGGAGGCTGAGTTGTTAATTCTGCATAAGCTTCAGAAAATCGATAATTCTGCTATGGGAATATTATGATATTTGTCATTAACGCAAAGTTTTATATATAGAAATGACTCATAAGTCCAGCTTTCTATCTCTGGCCAAGACAGGGTGGCTTGCTAAATAGCCAAAGCAAATCAATGCCAAAACTTTCACTTCAGCTTAGAGGCACACTCAACATTGCACGTTAAATCCAGACTATTTTTCATAGCTGGGGGAATTCGAAATGCTCCCTAAATTCTTAGTCACGGATATTTAAATGGCTGACATTAGTCATCATACCTGGATATGAAAAAGAATACCTTGCACATCTATATCTTTGCATATATCCATTCCATCCGTGCAGGTGCCCGCAACTTTGTATCTAAGCTTGCTATATTCCACTGTTGGTGTGTTTTCAAGTATTTCCATGGAACTGTGGGGTATTGAATTCACAGCAACATTTCCCCACATTTCTGAATACCATAAACTCTGTCTACCTATATACACACATGGAGGTGGAAAGAGAAAGCATCTGCTTTTGTAAGATAATCCAGAAATCGACAGCAAGAAAACACACATATTCAGATTTCTCAATGAGTACTTACTTTCCCATGCCCCATCTTCTTAGACTTGAGTTTACTGGAGCAGCTACAGAATGGCATAATGAGTTGGTTGTCCAGGCTTCTTTAACAGTCCCCTGACACAACCAGTTAACACAACTGAATGTGGGAGCAATGGTTGTTGTTGGAATAATCCAGATGGATTTATCGTACTTCTCTTCTTTAATCTGACTGGTCAGGGCATGGAGTAATAACATGATCTGCTATCACTGGGTACAGCACATAAGAATTACCGTAATGTTCATAAAAAATACGTAAGTAACATAACTTGATGGCAAAGAACACAGGCTGCATGACTACTGTGGCCTAATTTCAAATCCTGGCCTGCTTCTTCAAAACCAAAACCAAACCCTTTGCTGTTGCATTGACTCTGACTCACAGAGACCTTATAGGGCAGAATAGAATTGCCCATTAGAGTTTCCAAGGCTACATCTTTATGGTAGCAGATTGCCACATCTTTCTCCCAAGGAGCAGCTGGTGGGTTTGAACCACCAACCTTTTAGTTAGCAGCTGAGCACTTTAACCACTGAGCCACCAGGGCTTTTTCTCACCAGCTGTGAAATCACAGGACAGTGATACAGCCTCTTTGCACCTTAGTTTCTTTGTCTAAAAAATTGCCAGTAGGATTAAGTATATTAATTTATGTAAAATGTTTAGAACAGTCCCTGGCCCATAGGAAGTACTGAGTAAATATCAACTGTTAGGATAACTACACTCTCCCCATGGCTCAGTGATGTAACTTTGGAGGCTGGGCCCTGGGTGAATTGGAATGGCTCATCTAACTCTCTAAAAGTTGCAGATCAATATATTCTTGTGTGTATAATAAGTCAGTCTGAAGAGTTTCCGCCATCTTAATGCCCACTTAAACACCCACTGACATGCATGTAGGTTTGAAACACAAGTAAAGGACGTGTTTAGTATTTTCCTGGTTAGTTGAACCAAGGGTGACTAATAACTTTGTCACATGGGACCAGAAAATTGCACTCTCCTTGTCTGTCACAATTCACACATCTATGCCCTCCATTCCTTCTTGCTTCTTGATGATGACCCCATCACTCTGCAGAGGAAGCATGCACAGGGCGTGCACACACACCTACACACGATTAGAGAACCTGCTACCTCCTACCTCCAGCTGCTCTGTTTCACAGGGCAAACACTGAAAACGGGCAGAAGCTGCTGCCTGCCTTTCTTCCTGTGCACTTGGGGGATTGTCATTTCTTTGCAGCTTTGGACAAGGATGTACCCCAGCAACACCTGCCAAGTTCTATATTACCCCAGAACAGACTGTATAGCCTGGCTCCAGAAATGAACTCCCTGCAAATAGACATGAAGAAGCCCTGGTGGCACAGTGGTTAAGCACTCAGATGCTAACCAAAAGGGTCTTCGGTTCAAAGCAACCAGCTGTTCCACGGGAGAAAGATGTGGCAGTCTGCTTCCATAAAGACTGCAGCCTTGGATAAGGTCGCTATGAGTTGACCGACTTGATGGCAAAGGATTTGTTGTTTTTGGTTTAAATACACATGCCAAGAAGTAAAGGACTTTTCCACTCATGAACGAAGGAAAGAGTCTTGGTCTAATGGCTCACTCAGAATTGAACAGAATCAGCTCTTGGTTATTTCTCCCCCTCCCCTGCACAGCAGAGAGGTGGAACATTTACTCATTTATTGTTACTTACTAAACATGTATATGGTGTTGGCTATGCACCAAACACTCTTCTTCTATTAACCCATTAAATTCTAATATGCACCTTATGAGTTTGTTACTATTATCCTGCCCATTTAACTGATGAAGGAATGGAGACACAGAGAGGTTAAGCAACTTTCTAAAAGTCACACAGCTGGTAAGCAGGGGAGCCAGGATTCTGACTTAGGCTGACCAGCAGCAGGGTTCATGCTCCTAACTCTACTATGTTCCCTCTCAGGAGCTAGGTTCTACGGTCTAAGAATGGAAAGCCCTGTAGCTAGTCTTTCTTCCCCCATAAATGTCAACAGAGCTACTCCCAAGTTACAGGATCCCTGGATTTAAACCCAGGCTTCTGGTAAACATACACAAGAAGAACAACTGCACACATTGCCTGCCTACAATGCCCAACTCAGTCATGTTGGGTGAACATTCAGACACCTACCCCGTTTTCCCAAACTTGTAACTTTTTTTCATTCAGGTGTTTATTCTCCTAGAGCAGCTGTCTGAGTTCCCTGTGTGACTTTCTCATCCATGAGGGTTGATGCTTAGTATCAGGAAAATGACAGAAGTAAGAAATCCCAGGATGATGAAGAGGAAAACTTAATCGTCCAAGGATCATTAAGCGAACGGATCTAGACCGACTGGTCATTTATTTCTTCTTATTTAAAAGTAAGGGCCATGTCAAAGAAGAGTTCTCTTCAATATCTGTGTAGAAGACCTACCTCTAGGATTAATTAGATGCAGTCTGTTAAGGAGCCAGGAGACAACAGGAAGAAGGGACAGGCCAAGCTGATCAAATCAGATATGAGTTCTCAGTGTCCAGCCTCCTCCCTCACTCTTCTTGTCTCCTGACCTCCGGTTCTTGGCATGTAAGCCTGCAGAAGTCTCCAGCCTGCCACCTGACCTGCAGATTTTGGATTCGCCAGCCCCTGCAACCCCATGAGCCACTGCTGCCTCTGGGTTAGTCTCCCAAAATTTGATGACCACGTTTTCTAAGAGAATAGATTTCCCAACTGAGCAGAAGTTGGTGGGCAGGAAGAGATGGGGTGAGAGGAGACACACATCCTTGAAGGCAAAGCGGAGAGAGACAGAATTGCCAAGGGAAGCTGACTGATGAGGAAAGAAAAACAACTTAATTCTTTCCAGTTTCCTAAATAGTCTTCCTCTTGGCAATTCCAACCCACTGCCACCCTTTGGGATAATGAAGCCAACTCTCTGATTTGCCACCGAAAGAAAAAAAAAAAAAAGAAAAGAGCCCCCAAATGGAAATGTATGGCTAAAAGACACATTCAGGCATATTGAAGTAAAATGGGGTGGACAGCTCACCATTGGTTCAGTATGCCATTGAAGAAAGCTGGAACGCTTTTTTAAGGCAAAATCAATATGAAATGTCATAAGGGGCCGTGGCTCCATGCCAGTCCCATAATGTAACTCACATGATTTCCGTTTGTTGTTAAAAGGGTTTTCAGCACTCTTGGTTTTGCCCCAAAAAGTCATTAAGCACTTGTTAGGATAGGGGTTCACTCTGTTTGGATTACTTTATGAAACCCATTGTCTGCTAGCAGGCAAAGCACATTTAGAAAAGGCCAAGAAGACATCGTGCAAAGAGAAACTCTTTACCTGCATAGAATTCGGGACTGTAGACGGCACCCACAACTGGATTCAATTTCCAGCCTTAAAAAAAAATATACAAAAAACATTATCATCACACTTGATTCAACAACTTGCATCACTGCAAATTAACTGCGTATCAAATGGGCTTGCATATTTTCCTATTTTAAAATTTAGAGGATATATAGTTTGGGCATGTATAAAATTTTTTTTTACAACTATACATAGGAAAAATGGATTGGTCATTCATGCCCCGCTTTGATTTTCCACTAATACAAGTTAATGGAATGGAAACTACTGTCCAGCTACAGGTGAACCTTTCAAAAATGATGTGGTAATTAATTTTCCCCATATCAATGTTTTCTAGAGCCACTGTGATGATTTCAATTTTTTGTCTTCTTTCAAATATCATTTTTAGATAATCCATCCCATGTCCCTTTGTACTGAGTTCACAAAAATGTGAAAGCTCACATAAACAGAAATCTTTGCACAACACATTCCAACAATTATTGCCATCCTTAATTATGGCCCTGAGATGTTATAGAATGTGGAAGTACTTTCTGAATCCCAAAGGAAATAACATTTTATCCCCTGGAGGTTTAGTGTGGAACACATTTCAGTGCATTCTGGAGTGGAAAAATTCTTAATCAATGCATGATAGCTAAGGTAACTTTCAAATAACCTGTACGTAAGTAAGATTACCGAGACACTCTCACTTTCTAGCCCTTCTAAGTGGAAAGTTTTCTGTAAGACAAATCTTGGCCCTTTAGAAATTAATGCTCAAGAAGAGAACATGCAAGAATATTTGCAAAGTGGGAGCCCACCCACATAACAAATTCATCAGACGTTATTTAGGGGACAACCTCTGAAAAAAGACATTCTGGGGTTTTGCGATCATTGCCTGCTCCCGTTGGTAGGTCTTTATGAAAACATCCATTATAGAATCCTGAAAGACACAGGAGGGCAGGTGTGGAAAACCTTGTTATCTGGGTAGAAGGTTAAGCACCGGAGAGCCTTTACTAACTGCTCCTGAGAGGAGACAATGGTGAAAGCCTGAAGGTGAGGGAGGGTATTTCTGACAAGAACTCAGCTCTTCTCAGAAAGGAGAGGTGTGATATCCTGTCTGATTTAAGGGACATGTCTGTAAGAACAGCTGAGAGGTGACTACAATCTATTGATCCGTTAAGGAAGGCAGAGGCTCAATATCTCAATAAACTGGCCCCTGGACTGAATTAAGAACTTTCTAGAAATTTCCAAGAATGTTCTAGAACTTTCTAAGAACTTTCTAAGAATGTTTTGTTTCTAAGAACTTTCAGTTCCAACTTGAAGAAGCTGACTTGTTTAAGCCCCAAGGATGACCTTAGAATAAGATTTTTCAAAGTGCTATCCACTGATCATTTGAGGGGCTTGTTAATGGGAAACTTCCAGGCTATACCTTATACCTAAACTTAAGCACATTATATTCTGAGACCTATTGCCCCAGTAAGGAGCCCTGGTGGAATAGTGGCTACAGTGCTTGGCTGCTAACCGAAAGGTTGGCAGTTCAACTACACCAGCTGCTCTGCGGGAAAAAGACGTGGCAGTCTGCTTCCAAGGATTAGAGACTTGAAACCCTGTGGGCAGTTCTACTCTGTCCTATAGGGTCACTATGAGTTGGAATCCAGTCAACAGGTTTTTTTTTTTTTTCTTTTTCTTTTTTTAACTTATTGCCCCAGTGGCTCCTGAAATTTGATACCTACAAATGCCTTTCTTATATTTACCATATCTTGTCTTACCTGAATTTTTATACTGATATTAAAATAAAAATTACCCTGGCTATTTCAAAATATGTGTTTTATGAATGTAGAAAATGACTTCAATTTGACCTACTGAAAATTTATTGCTTCCTGAAAAAGTAAACACCCAGCTCCTAGAGACATGGTAACTAATGTACACATTTCAACCGTTTGTGGTCTAAGAGAAAACAGCAACCAGTTGAAAATAAAGCTGCAGGGTCATCTGGACATACTTAATCACCTCTGTCTTTCTAGTCCTTCTCACAGAAAACTAGTTTACGACAGAAATCTGTATGGAGTTGCATGAAATGAATAACTAAGGTATTAAGTCATTACTCCTCTTCTTTCTCCCCTATTCCCCATCTTACACCCTGCTTACGTCCCAACCTTTTATTGGTGGTGGAGAGTGGAGTCTTCCTTACACTATTCAAGTCAGGTTTTGTATCTTGTATACCTCTTTATCGTTGTTGTTGTTTGGTGCTGGCAAGTCCATTTTCGACTCATAGTGACCCCACGTGCAAAGTAGAACTGCCCTATAACGTTTCCGAGCTGTGATATTTACAGAAGATCACCAGGTCTTTCTCCTTCGGAGCTGTTGGATGGGTTCAAACCACCAACCTTTCGGTTAGCAGCTGAGTGTTTAACCACTGCGCTACCAGGGGTCCCTATACAACCTATCGAAACTCATGACGATTGAGTCAATTAGCTCCCTTAAATAACTCCTTTTACATATAAACTGGGCCACGCCATTCACTGAATATGGACCTATTGATTAATTTTGATGGCGCTCTCAAAGATAGTAAGTAATGCCAGTGGCCTTTCACTTCCTCAAAGAAACAGATTTCTGAAAGATTTGAAAGGCTACCTAGAACATAATACTTTCCTCACACGTCTTCATCATTTCCTTGGGCCAAGAAATCTATCTATCTATCCAGCTATCTATTTACCAAGTCTACCCACAGAAAGGAGCCCTGGTGGTACAACGGTTACATGCCCTGGGGTTCAGACCCACCCAGTGGCTCTGAGGGAGAAAGACCTGGCGATCTGCTCCTGTAAAGATCACGGCCTAAGAAACCCAATAGGGCAGTTCCACCTGTCACATGGGGTCACTGTGAGTTAAAAATCAACCTGATGGCACCTCACAACAACAACATCCATTGAAAAGCTTCATTTAATATAAAAATAATAGAAATTAAATGATACTCTGTCTCATTAGGGAGATCCGTGCCATTTCATGTCAGCACATATTCATTGAGAGAGGTAATTGATAATGTCTTCTCTATAAGAAATCAACGGGGACTTTGTGAGCAGCAAAATGAAATGAGACTCTTTAGATTGTCATGGGAACACCAGTGTAGGTTATCACCCTTCTTCCCATCACTGGTCCTTTCTCCCAAGAAAGGCTGCCTCTCTCCCACTGTAGGGAAAACAAAAGGCCTTTCTGAACCATGAGACAGGCATGAAAACCCAACCTCGAATCTCCCTCCATACCCAAAACCTATCCCTCACCAAGTCTTCCATCCTTCAGCAAATGGTATCCCCAACCATTTGGCTGGATGCAAAATTCTGAGATGCTCAGTGCAAAATTCTTGATCAATAATTCCTTGATTCTTCGCTTGCCCTCTTACCCACGTGTACTCCATTAGAAAGTACTATCGGCTAAACTTTGAAAGATGTTACCACTCTCTCTGTGCCCTTCCCTCTCTGTTTCCACCATGCCTGGCCAAGACACTACCATCTCTTAGGTGGATGAGTCCTCCAGCAAGGACCCTCACCACCTCTGCTCACTCCTTCTTCCTCCTTCCCACCTCTACCCATTCTACACAAAATGGCTGAAGCAATTTTTGAAAAGTAACTCAGATATGTCATTCTGCTACTCAGAATTTTCTTTTCAATAGCTTCCTGCTGAACTTAGAATAAACACAAATCCCTTAGCTTGGCCTACAAAGCCCACATGATCTAACCACTGCCCACCTCCTGTTCTCCTTTTCTATCGGTCTGCCCCTTCTCTCCAAGCTACAATGACACTGGCCTTTTTACAAAACCACCAAGCCCATTCTAGATCCAGGGCTTTTCGTGCCTACTGCTGCCTCTGCTTAGAGAACTCTCCCCAGCTCTTCACAAAGGTCGCTTGATGTTATTCAAGTCTCTAACGTCTCCCCAGAGCAAGCTCCTTGATGTCATTTTCCCCTGCCTCTCAAGTTCCTCTCAGATTCATGTCCCAGTTCCATACAGCTATTAGCACGGCCTGGGATTATCTTCTTTCTTTCTTAGCTTGTTGCTGTTTTTTATAACCAAACTTTCTCATTAAAGTAAATGGTCAAACGAGAAGGACTGTTGTCTGCCATGAATTCCTAGCACCTAAAACTACGTTGGGGGCAGTGGTAGAATTCTCGCCTTCCATCCGGGAGACCCAGGTTCCATTCCCAGCCAACGCACCTCATGCACAGCCACCACCCATCTGTCATTGGAGGCTTGCGTGTTACTATGATGCTGAACAGGTTTCAGCAAAGCTCCAGACTAAGATGGGCTAGAAAGAAAGGCCTGGTGATCTACTTCTGAAAATCAGCCAGGGAAAACCCTGCGGATCACAACGATCCAATCTCATTGTGCAAGGGGTCATCATGAGCTGGGGGCCAACTCCATGGCAGGTACCAACAACAGCAACAAAACTGGGCTGGGCAAATAGCAGGTGATCCATGAACATTTACTTGGTTTTCAGTCTAAAGGAAGTGAAGGAACATAGAGCTTTTTCTAATGGGCTCATTTCCCTTCGTGTAGAACTCTGTCTGCTTCCAACCTCGAGAGACCTCTTTCCTGATACAAATCTAACGAAGAAGGACTCCCTCCTCCCGCTCAGGGGGACTGTCTCCAAGAGAAGGCCATAAGAATCCGGCCCTTGAAAGTCACCCCTGCTCAGACTTACAGAGCTCAAGCAGCCTTATGCAAATGCATGCAAATCACACGCAAACGTCCCCCTAGTCCCCACAACTCCTTCGAGTACCCGGAAGAGACCCCTGGGACCACCCAGCTGGAAACATGATTCCATATCATCAGAAAGACCGACAAAACGATCCCAGTTTTAATTTCCCAGGCCGTTTGCCTATGTCCCCAGGCCTTAGGAATTCAGAGATTTTGATCAAGGACATTAAACCGAACAATGAGGCTTATAACAAAAGGCGAAAGGCTGAGAAAGCACCCCTGTTCCCGGCCTCCCAGGCCCCCGTACTACAAGGCAATGGAGTTGGTCTTGCTCTACATCAGACATGGGAGTGGCTTGGCGAGACC